ACTATGATGACGTCATTGAAATGAAAAATGAATGATATATTTTGATAGAGAATTATCTCAGCTACAACATATTAAATTCTGGGAGAAAATCGATGACCGATAAGTGAGATAATCTCAATTAAACAAAGATAAAAATGACGTCATCAAAAAAATACATTTTGTTGAGTTTAGATGTCAATATGAAGACTTTGTTACACTTTGTACGAGTCAGGGTGGTATGAAATCATATCTCCAACTCATGCTCTTTCCAACCATGATATAAAAATTGGGGGTCGACGGACTATCTGAAGAGCTATCTCGATTTATAAAGTAGCATGTTTTTGATCAAATTTACATTATATTGCCCATAGCAGCACGCGCGGAATTTGAACTTTGACGCGCGCTCACGGCCTTATGAAAGGTCAAGAGTGACTGAAATTAATGTAAATTGTCATTTACGGTAAGAGGAATCTAAATCATTTAAACAAATTGAATTTGACCTTTTCCGCGCGTTGTGAGCGCGCGCACCGCGCGCGGGGACAAGTACGGACGGAAATTTTTGAAATGCTTAAAATGACCTGATTCGTACTCTCGTTTAATAGTTAAGTGATTTTGAGCATTTTAAAATTTTGACGCGCGCGTACGTGAGCGTCATGACCTTTATGTGACCTTTGATGGGATGACTTGTTGACCCTTGACCTGAAGTATATGTGATATGAATATGAATGACCTTTGCTTAGGCATCATGAAGATATGATGGATAACGTGATTTCACAAAATGGCGCCTGGATGACGTCACGATGACCTGATGACCTTGAAAAGGTTACTGTCACGTCTCATGACAATGACCTATGACTGTGTCAAAATTGAAAGAAATTAACACAACCGATCTTGAGTTAACCGATGAACAAAAAACGGGGAGAAATAAAAATAAATAATAATAATAATAAATAAATAAAGAAAGAAAATTCTGACGAAAACAATAGGTGATCTGTCGTTGACAGACCACCTAATAAATAAATAAATAAATAAATAAAGAAAGAAAATTCTGACGAAAACAATAGGTGAGCTGTTTTCAACAGACCACCTAATAATAATAATAAAGAAAGAAAATTCTGACGAAAACAATAGGTGATCTGTCGTTGACAGACCACCTAATAAAGAAAATTCTGACGAAATCAATAGGTGGTCTGTTGATAACAGACCACCTAATAATAACTAGAATTTAATTCGTCACGAAGACGAATAAGGTGGTCTGTCTAAGTCTTATGATAGATTTGAGAATGGGACAAGTTATATAGACATGTAAACAATGATGATCATGATGAACATGGTGATGATCATGATAGTAAAGGTGATGATGATGATGATAATGATAATGTTATATGACGATAAAAACGATAATGTTAATGATGATGATGAGCATTAGCATTATCTTGACAACTGATTTAAAAAAATGAGGAAATATTTAGATAGCAAATAGTCTCAGCTACAACATACTAAGATTTTGAAGAAAACTGTTGAATAACAACCGAGATACTGGTCAAAACACCTTGTCATGCAGATTCATGTTTTGAAAAAAGTGACCTCCCATAGACATAACACGCAAATATGACAAATTATGCATTGTCGCCTTTAATCGAATATTTTACTATGATGACGTCATACAAATAAAAAAAAAATGACATATTTCTGATAGAGAATTATCTCAGCTACAACATATTAAAATCTGGGAGAAGATCGATCACCGATTAGTGAGATAATCTCAATTAAACAAAGACAAAAATGACGTCATCAACAAAATGCATTTGTTTGAGTTTAGATGCCAATATGATGACTTTATTTCACTTTGTACGAGTCATGGTGGTATGAAATCATATCTCCAACTCATGCTCTTTCCAACCATGATATCAAACTTGGGGGTCGACGGACTATCTGAAGAGCTATTTCGATTTTTAAAATGGGATGTTTTTGCCCATATATGCTATGTATTACAAGAGCTCGCACGCACGGACATTATCTTAAACGGACGCTCATTCCGTTATTAAAGGGCAGAAAAAGGATAACAATGTATCAAAATGCTTGAAAGAATGTGTCAGATATGATGACGGAAAAAATTGGCGATTTCATGTTGCAAAATGCCAGGACACGCGAAAACGCGCGCCCATGCGCGTGTGCGCGTTTTTTTGCAAAATGCTTAAAATGGCCTGAAACGTATGCAAAATGAATTTGAGACGATTTGAAGCATTTTTATTTTTTGCGCACGCGCTAACGCGCGGACGTACGCATGCGCGCGCGTTTATTGACCTGAAACTGACCGGACGGATATTGACCCTAATCATGATAAATATAAATGAGAAATGCCTTTCCGTTATGAAGATATGATCATGAGTAAAAAGTACCAAAAAAACACAAAATGGCGCCTGGATGACGTCATGAAGACTTGATGACCTTGAAAATGTTCCTGTCACGTCTTATGACAATGACCTATGACTGTGCCAAAATTGAACGAAATTGACTAAACTGATCGTGAGTTATCGTCGGAACAAAAAAGTGGGAACAATAAATAACTAGAAATTTAATTCGTCACGAAGACGAATAAGGTGGTCTGTCTTCAAGTCTTATGATAGATTAAAATAGTTACTGTATTGAGAAAGGGAGAAGTTATAAAGACATGTAAACAATGATCATGATGATGATGATGATCTTGATAGTAATGGTGATGACGATAATGATGATGATGATGATCATGATGATGTTGATGATTATCATCAACAGACCATGATGACATCAGACTGAACAAAATGAGAGAACATTTAGATAGTATAAAGTCTCAGCTACAACACACTCAAAAATCAACAAAAATCAAGCTGAAATAACGGCGATATTGCTCGCAAAAGACAAGAATGTAGAATCCAGATTTGAGAAAAAGTCATCTCCCATAAGGATTACACGCAAAAAGTAATGGATCAAGTGATAATAGGGTAATAATAAAGTAAATATGGTTGTTTATTACATTATTTGCGATTGTACGTGTTTTAATATTCAAAGGAGATGGTACAGTGAAAGGTCAAAAAGAAAAAAAAGTTAAAAAAAAAAATTGTTGGAGACGCCCGGACTCGAACCAGGGACCTCGAGGTCGGAAGTCAAGTGCGTTACCGATATACCAAAACATTTCCCATAGAGATTACACGTAAACGGAAAATGGAATTATCAAATCCCACTTTGTAAGTGAAATATGAGCATGATCCCGGCATCTGATCGAAAAATAAAGGGCACACTTGTGATAGCTTATTGTCTCAGCTACAACATACTCAAAGCTCAGCGTAAACAAAGATAAAACAACGGAGATATGGCTCGCGAAAGACCAGAATGTAGAATCCAGTTTTGAGAAAAAGTCATGTCCCATAGAGAATACACGCAAAATGTGAAAAATTGACATGCCTCCTTTAATCGCATAAATACACCATGATACCATTGTCAAAATGAAATAGCGTGTTGACTGCATTTGTAGAAAATATTCTCAGGTAGAACATATCCAAATTTGAAAGAAAATTGATCAATATTTACAGAGATACAATCAATTTTCCAAAAATCTGCTGACGTCATAATATGCAAATTGAAATTTTGAGTTTGGAGGCCATTATGATGACGTCATGAGTTAATTGAGGGTCAAATGACACATGAAATCATATCTCCAACTCATGCTTCTTCCAACCATGATATAAAAAATGGAAACAATTGATTATCTGAAGAGCTATTTTGATTTTTAAAATGTCATGTTTTTGATCAAATTTGCATTATATTGCCCATAGCAGCACGCGCGGATTTTGAACTTTGACGCGCGATCACGGCCTTTTGAAAGGTCAAGGGTGACTGAAATTAATGTAAATTGTCATTTACGGTAAGAGGAATCTAAATCATGTAAACAATTTGAATTTGACCTTTTCCGCGCGTTGTGAGCGCGCGCAACGCGCGCGGTGACACTTACGGACGGAAAATTTTGAAATGCTTAAAATGACCTGATTCGTACTCTCCTTTAATAGTTAAGTGATTTTGAGCATTTTAAAATTTTGACGCGCACGTACGCGCGCGTCATGACCTTTATGTGACCTTTGATGACATGACCTTTTGACCCTTGACCTGAAATATATGTGATATGGATATGAATGACCTTTGCTTATGCATCATGAAGATATGATGGATAACGTGATTTCACAAAATGGCGCCTGGATGACGTCACGATGACGTGATGACCTTGAAAAGGTTCCTGTCACGTCTCATGACAATGACCTATGACTGTGCCAAAATTGAATGAAATTGACGAAACCGAACTTGAGTTATCCTAGGCACAAAAAAGTGTAGGAAATAAATAAAAATAAAGAATAATAATAATAATAAAGAAAATTCTGACGAAAACAATAGGTGATCTGTTTTCAACAGACCACCTAAAAATAAAGAATAAATAAATAAATAAAGAAGAAAGAAAATTCTGACGAAAACAATAGGTGATCTGTCGTTGACAGACCACCTAATAAAGAAAGAAAATTCTGACGAAAACAATAGGTGATCTGTCGTTGACAGACCACCTAATAATACTCAGTTTTTATATAGCGCTTATTAGAATCACTAAGCGCTTCCAAACTTGGAGATTATTACCCTGGCTTTAGCTGTGCTGCCATTGCGGCGCTCTAGCATTTCAAAGAATTAATTCCTGCCAGGTACCCATTTACATCACCTGGGTTGAGTGTGGCAAATGTAGATCAATGTCTTGCCAAAGGACATTAGTGCCGTGGCGGGTCTCGAACCGCGGACCTTGTGATCGACGGTCCTGCGACTTAACCACTCGACCACGGCACATCTACATTATCATTATTATTATTACCATTATTTGTATTATTAGAAGTAGTATTATCACTGTCAATGTTGTTGCCGTTATTATTATTAACACGAATTTGCACTATACAATTTTGGCTCACCAAATTAAACCCTCTTTGTTTCTTACTGATTTCAATAGATAATCCATATCGGTTGATAGCACACACCGATAAGAAGACATCGGTACATTCACGTATCATCTGGGCATGCTCTTGGTCTCATGATAGTCAATTTTTTGCTACATCCTCCAGAGATAAGAAGGTAAGCTTCATCATTTTTATTTTAAATTATTTTACTTTTACGTAGCGGCTAATCATTCCTATGTGCAGGAATGGTTGCTATATTTTGGCCCTCAAAACTAATGTTATGATACCCAGATTCCTAACTTCTTTTGAAAAAAAATTGTGTAAAAATATCATAATATCCTAATGTTTCCTTTCAAGATTCTAATACTTGCTGTAGAAGGTTGGCAGGTATGCTTCTACTCACTGCATGAACGTCTCCTACTCCAAAGTACTATATTATATTGATAAACCATTTTGCTCCATCTAGATTTTGACACTGCCCAAATTCTGGATTATTTGGTCTTCCAAACCTGATGTTATATTTCACCAAGGCTGCAAATGAGGCTTAAATATAATTGCTGAACTCCTTGACCTTCTCTTTAAAGGTATAGACCAGGGCCCCGTTGCATAAAACTTACCATTGATGATAACTTTGCGATCAATGGCAACTACCATGGTAACAGGGCTCAACAGCCAATCAAAATCAAGGTTTCCATGGTAGATACCATTGATGGCAAAGTTACCATCAATGGTAAGTTTTATGCAACGGGGCCCAGTTCTGGTCATGCGATTGCATTGTGTAAGAAACGTTGTGGAATCGATCAGAAAAGGTTGATGATCTAGTATATATGCATTGGTGTGTACTGCAAGGTTCTGGAATCATCAAAATGATAAGAAATTTGGCAGAGTCTTGGTAAAGTTACAAACACAGAAAGATGTATATGGGACTATGAGATATCTATCCAGTCCAGACAGATATGGTAATTTACCAAATATATCAATTAGTAGGCGGTTTCCCGGCAAAATTTGTATCATCACATATGAGTCAAAAGATATTCTTTCACAGATTGGTAATAAGAGCTTCCATTTCATTTTTTGAGAGGGGAGCGTTTGCAAACCTGGTCTATACCTTTAAATATTTCTAATTTTTTTTTCTTCAGGTGATTGTGTGGGGTAAGAAGAAAAGCGTGGATGAGGACCAAGGTGACGCCGGTCCTCTTGGACAGTACGGAGCTTTGTCCAAGCCGCTGGACGTTGGTGATTCTGCTACAGCTATAGACTTTGCCAGACAACTCACAACAAATGGAAGGTAAATAAAAAAATTAGTTATGGAGCCATTGTATTGAAATTACTAAAATGTTATAATGATAATATTTATGATAATAATATTGGATATTTTTATAGGGCTCATATCCACCACGCAAGGTGTTTAAGGCACTCCGGCTCTGGTGGGCTACTGATTTCGGTGAAATTCAAGAAATTCCTTCCTACCGGTACCCATTTAGCACCTGGGTGGAGAGTGGCAAATCGTCGGTGGGGTGACAAAACCTTGTATCTCAATTTTCTGAGATTTTGATTTTTTTTTGCATAATTTTGTATGTAATGGCCTACGACACCACCTCATAAATCCTTGGAACGCCTCCTTCTCGGTTTTTTCACAAATTCCACACAAACACCCTTAAACTAAATCTCGTAACTTTAACCCCCTTTGAAGCTGCACTGACAAAACCTCGTAACAAAAGATACGTAATTCCTTTTCCTCGTATAACTCACACACGGCCTATCAGTACCGAAGTTAGTGTATTCAAATCCTTGTAACTTATTCAACCAAATCCTGGTAACTCATCCAGAGTTGAAATTAAGAACTTGTATCTCAATTTGAATACAAACTAAAAACTTGTATCAATGTAGATAAACACAAAAACTTTGTAACTCACTTTCAAATATAAAATCAATTATTTTACTGTATTTCAACAATGACATTAAAAATTGTATAAATATTCCAGTTTTAAAAAGAAAGAACGGTGTCACAGCACTAAATTTGTTGAGACATGAAAGTTTTTTCGCTCTCCTGAAAATTCATGATTTTTGAGATACAAGGTTTTGTCACCCCACCGACGGAATGTAGATTAATGTCTTGCCAAAGGATATTCATTGGTGTTGAGGCAGCACTTGACAAAGTCTGAGTGATGATATGACTTCTTAAAATTGGTTGTATGACGCATGCTCCTGCAACCATTGCTCAGCCATCAATTTCCTGCTCTTACCATACTTCAAACTTCATTCGTGGATTAACCATTAACTAATAGTGTGTTTAGGTTAACCCTATTTAGCCCGGGCTATTTTGAAACTGCATAGCCCTGGGGGGGGGGGGGGCTTCTAAGGCCCCCACTATAATCTCGGCCGTGAAACGACCAATCGCCGCGAAAATTTGCATACATGTCAAGTGAAGTGTATAGAATACTATGGTAATTTCAATTTTTTTTTAAGTGCTAAGCCCGGCCCCCTCCCCCGCATTCGTGTTCCCAAAATCCAATGGCTTCTATTGGTAAATCAATAATGATAAATCAAAATCGACTTTAGCAACTGTCCACCAAAAAATTGTTGAGTGCAAATTTGACAATTGTAATTAAAGTAAACCTATCTTAGTAGTTTTTTACTTGTGCAGCTGTGATTGTTCTATGCAATCATATTTGACTTTGGGTCTTACATGTAGAGTGTGTTGAGGTATATTGTAACACAGTCATGTCCAATGGCTTCTATTGGTAAATCAATAATGATAAATCAAAATCGATTTTAGCAACTGTCCACCAAAAAATTATGAAGTGCAAATTTGACAATTGTAATTAAAGTAAACCTATCTTAGTAGTTTTTTACTTGTGCAGCTGTGATTGTTCTATGAAATCATATTTGACTTTGGGTCTTACATGTAGAGTGTGTTGAGGTATATTGTTAGACAGTCATGTCGAAAATCACATGCATAGCTCACAGAAATGGGTATCTGGGACTACACCCTCATTTGGCATTTTTGTTTGGTCTAAAGCTCTCAGCTATTTCTTGTCATATATTCAAAATATAATGGCATTAGAAGAGCAATCATATTTAGGGGACCTCTTCACTATGGCATTCTTCCAAAGTGACATTAAAAAAGCTGACAAATTAATTATATTCTTTACCGGAACTCAAGCTTGTTAATTGAATTGAACTGAATTCGCATTTATTTCATTATCGATTAAAAATTACATTGATACAAAAGATACAAAATTATTCATGAACAAATTTAGAAATGAAATGGGGAACTACATAAATAATGCCCTTAGGCCTTGTACACGCATAGTTCCCAAAGCATTCATAGCATATACATGTAAGCAAAGATTTTAAAAAAGAAGAAAAAAAAACGAACATTAAATAAAAAGAAACAAAAATCAAAAAACATATAACACAAATATAAACATAAGATAAGTAACCATACATAGTAATACAAAGTTTTGGGAAATTTTGAAAATTGGGTGGATAGTGATTCTTTACAATTTTGATATATTTGGATGCCCCTTTGGATGTATTATAAACACTAAAATATTTAGTCCCTAAAGCACTTCTACTTTCAAGTGCTCCCGGTAAATTTTGATGAATTTCAAATAGCGCCTACGGCCGTACAATGGTAGCTGTGACCATGGAAATCTCAGAATATGTAGTTGTGATATATAATTTCCAAACGTGAATACCTAATCGGTCGATTATAGTCAAGAAACATTGTTTCATAGCTTAATTAATATCTTGACCTAAATGTATTATTTACAATTTCATAACTTTAGACTCGATTGCAACCGCGACAACGATCACTGAACATTGTAGGATCGCATATGCTCCCCAATATGTTCATTTAAACCAAATTCATGACCCTATACCAAAACTTTGTAATACCGGTACCTTTAAAGATAAAGTTGAGTTCTGGTCATGCAATTGCATTGTTAAAGAAACAGTGTGGAATCGATCATAAAAGGTTGCTCATCTAGCATAGGCCTATAAGTATTGGTGTGTACTGCTAGGTTCTGGAATCATCAAAATGATAAGAAATTTGGCCAAGTCTTGGTAAAATTACAAGCACCTGTACACAAAAAGATAAATATGGGGCTACACGAACATGTGTCATAAAAATCTGTCCCGATATTTACGTTGTTTAATGCCATATTTAGAATATGAAAGCATTTCAAGAGCCATGCTTTTCAGGGAACATTTTTTATCTGATGTTCTTCCACACTTGCATAGTAACAATGATAACGCTAACAAATTATTTTCCACCTCTTCCGAGAACTCAACCTTCTAGTACTTAAATATTTATTTTGACAGCTACATCCTGGCTGTTGGTGTAGAATCAGGATCAATATCAGTCCATTCATGGCATCCTTCCCAGCCAACTGCGCGTGTCTCGTATCCTTACCTAAACAGTGAGTAGAATATACCAGGGGTCAGTTCTCTATTTTTTATGAAAGCATGTAGGACTTGCATTTGTGGTGAATTGATAATAATGATAATAATAAAAACGTTACTTATAAAGCAGTGGCGGATCCAGGGGGGGGGGGGGGCCGGGGGGCCCGGGCCCCCCCCCCCCCCCTTGAGAAAAAAATCATGTAAAATCACGTGATTTTTACCTTTTTTGGGGGTTGGGCCCCCCCCCCTGGCGCTCAAGGGGGGGGGTGCAAATTGAAATTTTTTTGAGGATCAAAAAAAAAAAATGTGCTCACTACCCCCCCCCCCCCCCCCCCCGAGAACTCAACCTTCTAGTACTTAAATATTTATTTTGACAGCTACATCCTGGCTGTTGGTGTAGAATCAGGATCAATATCAGTCCATTCATGGCATCCTTCCCAGCCAACTGCGCGTGTCTCGTATCCTTACCTAAACAGTGAGTAGAATATACCAGGGGTCAGTTCTCTATTTTTTATGAAAGCATGTAGGACTTGCATTTGTGGTGAATTGATAATAATGATAATAATAAAAACGTTACTTATATATAAAGTGCTTACCACCGAAGTCTCTAAGCGCTACAACAAACAAAATAGACTGATAAACAATTACAGTGTTTACATATTAAACAAAACAAAATAGTGCAAATAAACCTACAGATTACAATACATTTGAAATACACACCAATGTGAACAGGATAAGTTAATGAATGCAAAAGCAATCTTAAATGTATGTGTCTTAAGACAAGTTCTAGATAAAAGGACATGATAAAAGTGTAAAAAGATTCCTTTATAGTATTAATATTTGTGTACTCCAATCAAATTCACTTTTGGAGAGTGTTATATTTAATTGGTTTGATTATTTTTTTTCCAGCTCGGGTCACAAAATGACTGTTAAACGATTGAGCTGGAGACCAACAAGTAGAAGTCAACCTGGTGAATCCAGTCAGAACTGGTTCCAACTGGCTAGCTGCAGTTCAGACGGGAGTGTGCGGATACACATGTTCGATAGCCTGTCGTGACATTATTCCTCCTCCTTGAAAGCGTAGAAACTGAAGGGCTACAAGTTTATAGACACTATTTTGACATTATTGTGGCACTATGGGCCATGGCTTTCACGAGCATGATAGCGCAATGTCAGTTGGTCAGCTGTAGATTTAGTCTTTGCGTTTTAATAGTCTGTTACCCCCCCCCCCCCCCACACATTAGGTATGTCCTCATCAGCTCGAGATTGCCAAATAGCACGCTATTTTTGATTTGGGAAATAGGCCCGAAGTTACAAATCGCGTCTTCATCAGCTCGAGAAATTAGCTCAAGATATTTGGCTCAGTGTTCGCGCATTGTGCGAGTCTTCGGGCTTGTGAAGATGCACCGGATAAATAGTGGGATATTTTGCTAACTAGCTCAAGATATGTTGGGATGATTTCCCGAGCAAAAAGCCCACTGTTTACGCCTTCACCTGTCAAATATATCCAGGATCAGTAGCAGGATATTTGGCAATCTCGAGCTGATGAAGATTACAAATTGAAAAAGGCCTAAAAGCGGAGACCAACAACTTTTGTTCCTCTTGGTTTCGTTGGGGGGGGGGGGGGGGTTGGGGCTTGTGTAAAAAAAAGGTTTGTACTTGGGTCCCCCCCCCCCCTCCCCCACCCCACTCAGAGAATTTCTGGATCCATCCTTGATTGATATCATATATGGAAAACTTTCCTGTGGTCATGATGTTTGAATTCATAGTTGAAATACATGTACTGTATCTTGAAACCCGCTTTAGTGACCACCTGTATGTAAAGACCACCTGTCTTTAAACACCTTGAGAGGTCTTTATATACAGGTATATTAAATGTTCCTTGTCATCATGATTCTGTGTGATTCATTGTGATTCAGTTATTTTGTGTCATGAAACCGCTATGAATCCAGGCCTGATAAAACCCAATTTTAATCGGTTTCCCAATTGTTTTTTTTTTTCTCCGATTTTTTTTCTACTTTTATTTTCTCCCGATTCCCCATATGTTCTCTATTCTTCCCTATTTTTCCCTATTATTTCCCAATTTTTTTTACTCAAAAGGGGGGAATGTTGTTAGATGCCATTTCCCCCCCGAATCCTCTTCCTTTTTTTTTTTACTCAAGGGGGGCGTGGTTGAGGGGGAAATTTTTTTTTTTTTTTTTTTTTTAGTGCTCACTATCAGTCTTCCCTGGAATCTGAACTTGGGGAATCTGTGAATGGTCCATGTATACACACATTTCTTGCTCTAAACTATTTATGATCAATGAATCATGATGTTTCCTTTGCTTCTCCAGACAATAAATAATTTTTCATGTAAAAGAACTTAATTTCCTGTAGCAGTATACATTATTTCAACGTTAATGTATTCAGAAAACTAATACAAGTGCAAAGCTCATAACAATACTTTTTAGCAAAATTGATGATCAAGGTAGATGTCATATAGCAAAAACGTGTTCAACCATTTTAATAAAAACATTCAAAATACATACAATAGGTTTTTCAATGATAATACATGAATGTCAAAATTTGAAACAGATTTAGTATAAAACAAAATAATAATTGTTCAATAAAATGGTGAGAGTATCCACGAAGAAGCATACGTTTGTGAACGGTTCCCTGTATTAAAGTAAAGAGAAAAAAAGGGTAAGAAAACACGAATGATTACAGATTGCCTACAGAATGTGTACACATACACCCAACACACACACACACACCATCACACATGCACACACACACAAGCATACATAGTTAATAGACAGATAAAAGGTGGAAGGAGGGGTAGGAGTAGCAGAGAAGGGAAGAGAAGAATTGCAATAAAATGCATAGTGTTCTAGGGAGGGGGCCAATGTCTCTTTACCTGGTTACATGAATATCAACTAACCCATTTTTACATTTTAGGAGCAAGTTTTGTTGTTTTGGAGAAGAAAAAAAAGACAAGTAGACACACAATAGATATGTGCTTAGATTTTGGGATATAAAAAAGAGAAAAGTAAATCGATGGAATTAACGTTTCACAAAGATCCTAGGTTGAACTTATCTCTAATTTGGACTTAAAAATTATGGAAAGCCGTAAGCATCATTGAAAATGTTTTGTAAAAATTATTTTAAAAGGCATGAAATGTTGATTCAAATTATTCATATTTCTATTATCGTGGGATTTCATGTTCTTGATGTGGAATTTATGAAAAGTCTAAAATACTTGGATTTTGCTTTTGAATATATTTCATTTTAAGGCTACAAATGGCTCTCCGTAATATAAAAGTCCAACTCAGAGTTAAGTTCGACTTAGAATCTTTGTGAAACACCCCCTAGAATATATATAATGAGAAGAAGAGATATAGGTGGATGGAGAGAGAAAGATTTGGAGGCAAATTGAAAAAGAGTGAAATATTGGTAATTGGGAACGGGAGGAGGAGGGAAGCAAAAGAAAGCATAAACAAGAAAGAAAGATAACATATCTTAATTAGGAGCAATCGGATCAAGACAAAAAGAAAAAGTGACTGGATAAATGGAAAAGGAATTCTGTCGGAACAACATTAGGCCAAAAATAAAAACTTGTTGTATTGCCCTTTGCGATCGGCCCAAAAATCTGAAAATCTACGGTCGGCATTTTAAAAAAGTTTTTTTTTTTTTAAACCGTTTTTTAGATTTTGTTTTATTGATGAATAAAAATGCATATAATCAAATTATTCCAAAATTCTCACTCGTGCAAACCATGGATGATTATGAGGTGAAAAAATATATCAATGGAATGGTGACGTTGAAACACATGTATTAAAGCATTAAAAACTGAGAAATATCAGCCAAAAGAGGGCGGAAAAAAAAGGAGAAACAAAAAAACATTTAAATCTGAAATATATCGGCCCAAAGAGGGCGACAAAAAAAAAGTTAAAAAAAAAAAAAACTTTTCCGACCGCCCGACCCATGTTTTGGCACCCAAAGGGCAATACAACAAGTTTTTATTTTAGGATTTAGATAGAAGATGTATTTACCAACTAAATTACAAATATATCCAAGAAGTGAAGGCTGCTTGAATAATTCTATTTTCACAATCCTTACTACAGCCATATTCCCCAAGGTCTGACTTACAAACCTTGGAAATGCCTAGTCGTGATAATTAATGTTACATGACGTTCGGTACAAATGAATTATCCATTATAACTTGGGAATGATACAGTAGCCAGGGAAAAGGTCAATTTGATGGTTTTATATAATTGCGAGAGCCATATTTTATATACTGTACATTCTACATGTATAATTGGTCTCCTTTTTGTTATGCGCAATAGAATTATACATTAATCATGCATTTGTTAAACTTCATATTTCATTACTAGCTAAATCTTTGTCATCGAGTCGCTGGCCTCGAGTGGAAAAGCTCAATACAATACAACAATTAAGCCTAGTCCATTTGTAGTTTAGGCGCATCTTTATCATTTCCTCTTTGATGTATGGATAAATGTATACATAAAGCAAACTGGCAATTATGAGGCTTTCGTCGAAAGGGTGCGGTGCGGTGCGGTGCGGCGCGCGAATTTTTTTTCCGTACTCGAGAGGGCAAATACCCCATGTGCGCATGCGCGTGGACTTGTGATTTCTCTGCTACTTCCCATACGAAATGTACATGTATTCGCATGTACTGTGCACGATTCGCGTTCTACGAGTAAACGATGGCATAGTAGTCTTCAAACACAGACTCTGATTTGCCAGTTTGACAAATCAATATGCGTATGTGTCGCGATGTGCTTATTCAAGTCTGTGTAGTTGTATGATTCAGACCCAGTAGTGCATATGGAAATACATTGCAACTTGTATAGAATGGTATAGTAGTCTGCAAGCACAGACGCTAATCTGACAGTTTGACAACATACTAGTAGTGTGCTGAGAAGTACTTTATTCAAGTCGCCAACTTGTATAGAATGGTATAGTAGTCTGCAAGCACAGACGCTAATCTG